ATTCAACAACAGTACTATGTAGACCAATTCTTGGTTGATGAAAATAACACGTTGAGAGGACTGAAAACCATAAATTAACCTATTTGTTAGCTGCGAATGTTAGTTATTTAACTAAAAATTTATGAAAAGTGACTCTGTTTTAAGGACAAATAGGCGTCATTAGAAAAGCATTAGACATCGACATTGGTTTCTGTGGTCAAAATACTTTACAATGTGGTCAGTCATAACATTGAAATTAGTTGACCTGAGATTTTGAGTTTTAATTTGCTCTCTTTTGTTATAGCAAACCATGTACCGCATTCGCTTATTAAAATTAACTGCGTTGGTTTCCAGAAAAATAAGCATAAATTTGAATTCGCCATGAGCTTAGCAACCAAATCCTTAGAATTCAGTGCTTGTTCACACCAGCTACAACACTTAGGATCGCCAAAAGCTATAGATTGTTGAAAAAGAAGTGGACTTTTTGCGATTGCAATCGCATTCTTTGCGCATTTTACTGATGTTTGTCCAATTTCTATGAGGAAAGCTCTAGAATACGAACAGCTCTTCAATCAATGTATAGATGCTATTCGTAAAGCTAAGATGCGTGTCATGAAAAACTGAACTTATTAAAGGTTCAAACAGGGTCATCAGTAGTCCTGTCTGCGCAATCATGGTTTCTACCTCATTTCTGTCGATGCCTTAACCTTTCTCGAAGGCATTGGGGAGAGCTGGGGATTCAAACTTTGAGGAGGTAGAGCATTTACACTCTCATCCTCGTACTTGCAAAGGCGTCGTAAGTAATCGTCGACGCCTCTAATTCACGGTAAAAAGAATCATACATACAACTTAAACTTCCACTGTTCAATGTACAAAATGAGTTTGGTCAATAAATTTAGTTACAATTCGCTAGCAGTTTTTTTTCTATCTTCCGTAAAGTTTTATGTTAACTTTTTCTAGTATGAACTATTGCTCGTTGGCGAAGTGGGACCCAGCAACCACCACCTGACTATGCATTCTTATTACGTTACATAACTACAGCAAGTGCTGAAAAGGTCTCGTTCGTCAAACAGGAATTGTTATTCTCCGGAAAGTCATTTTTTGAGTCATTCACACACGTGAGCATCATCAAATGCTCTCGACAATCATTTAGAATGCTTAAAATGGCATGACGAACAGCGGTAGTATGCGAAATGAAAACGCCATTACCCCACATTTAATGCCCTAAACTAAATAGACCTTAGGATTGACCAAACGCACCTTGTAGATTTGTCATGTCACGCTGATCTTAAAGCTTAGTGAAGTTCATCTTATATTGCCGGTTACCAAAGCATTCAAAAGGCACTTGGAAATTCCTATTTTAATTTGAGTGCACGCAATAGCGGTTGCTGACAGTAATAAAACAACCCTGTCCAAATGTTTGGTCAGCTGCTTAAGAAAAAGTTGCTATCAAAAGTTGGCATGTTAGAGTTTTGAAAGGCCACTCATTGTTTGTCTTCGTCTCTTATTCCTGGTTTATTTATTTGACTTGAAGTAGTAAATTTTGTCTAGCAAAAGGTCAAATTAAACGTCGAGATTATCGATAACAGAAACGTGTTTTTCGACATCATCAACAAGTTTGACGATTGTCTGCCCTTCTTTGCTGGTCAATGCTTGGACCCGTTTCAACTCCCAACCCGGTACCACTTCAGTCATGGTAAGTTCAGACCTCTAACTCTATGTAGCCGCATTCAGAAATTAGAACACGCGTTCTAGCAATGGACTAAGTTATTCTGCTGGCATTTTGGATTTAATAAGTTGCCTGTTCAAACAAAAATATCAGTCCAGCCAATTGTGACAACTAATGCTTTTCATGCACACACCATCCGAGATGCTCACTAAGGTGTCTATGAAGTCAGAGTTGTAATGCGTTGCTCAAAACTTCCGTTTCCGTTCACGTTGCTAAAATCAAACAAACTCCGAAACACCCATACTTATTCTCCCATTACTTGAAGCCAGAACATTCGTTTACTCATACCCCTTTTGACTATAATAATGACGATTCAAAAATTCCTTATAATACCATAAGCAACTTGAGTTCATTGACCAAAATAAGTTTTGCTTCTGTCACCACAAAATACCCCATTTTGAATGAATTTCAGTTTTGACATTTCTCCATTTTGAACATCTGCTGTCTAAAAAATGACCGGTTTACCTTTAAAGCAAAGAATTACTGCAGCTTTTGCTGCAGTTGGTTGTAAAGGTAATGTAAAGTCGAGTTTAGCAATTAGGGACAAAAGACCTACGCATCACATCTTGCCACTAATGCAGTTAGACAAAAGCTATATTGATGATAGTGAAGATAGAAATCGGTGAAGAGGTCTAAATAAAAAAGTTATAGCACCAAGAATACCTCCAGTGCAACTATGTTTAATAAATTGCTCTAAGGTTTTGGTTAGCTTGAGGATAGTGCGATCGACTGGATCACCGCTAGCTGTAACCGTCTACGGCTTGAATCCTAAGTTCTCCAATTTTATATTTATTTGTGGAAAAACAATGCACTCAATAGTATTTCAGCAAACTCCAGTCTTTGTAATGGTTCAACTTTTACTAAACTTTTCGTGGTAAGAACGGTAATAGTCAATAGGTGATAAATAGTTCTCTCTACCATGCTCGCGAAGGCAAGTGCTCTTAGAAAGATCTGTGAAGGCTCACCCAAGGTAGAAGTCTTGAGCTTGGAGAACTTGCTCAACACGAAGACCACGAGCGTATACATGTTATGCCTCAAAAAGATCTCATTTCTAACAATCAAAATAGGCTGCATCCTTTTCACTTGGTTGCACACTCCTTTGAACTCAGTATGTGTTCACTTACCACACAGTGATTTTGAAGCACTCCTCTTGATCTTATAAGCTTGTAGCTCAAATAAATGAGGTCATTATCATTTGGGGAAGTCTGTTGGAGCGAAGTGATGAAACGTCACTTAGCTTGTCTGGTATACCTAAGCACATGCTAAATACCTACCGCTCTCACTCAGCTTAATGCCTGTGAAATTTCTCCTCCAACCTCGCCTTCACTTGAGCGTCTAGCCTTACTAGAGTAGGCCTCCAGAAATTATGACGTTGAAGGGATAAGGGCACCACGTCCGCTTCTCTCCCCTCCCATGTAGTCCAGTACAGCATACCAAGCCCCTCCCATGCGGTCTCACACGCACATACGTAGTCAATGAAAATATGGCTGCAGCAAACTGCATCTGATCAATCACAGAGTTGGTTTGAGGTTAATGTGGAAGCCACCATTATATTTGCATCATTATGAACATTTTGTAGTATATTACATTTAACAAGCTAAGTAAACCAATTTTGTGACACTCAAGCCTTAAGATTTTATTTCGAAATATCAGATGGTTGCAATATCTTAATATAATTTTGTTAAAGCCTTTTGTAACTTTCAGCTCTAAAGAAAAATCTCGTATGCCGCATACTGGTAATGAAGCAGTGAAGTACTCGTAATTCCGCAGCTTATTACTTTCATTTTTGTAAATTCAACGCCATTTTTTGTCCATTTGTGCTATTAAGTACAATTGCGTCCATCTATTAAATACCTTAAAAAAACTCAACGCACCTGAATGAGTTACAGTAATTCGCTTTATGTACACCTTTTTCTTTCATTCATTTCGACCACAGTGTTCAATTAGGATAATAAAATGTGCAATTCAGCCACGTACTTCCATATTTTACTTGATTAAGCTGATGACCGCTTTGTTCCTAAGGAATCCACTTAACAACTGAAGTTACATTTTGCCCCATTTTCAATCCCTCGCATAGGTTACATATACAGGATATTCAGCCAAATTATTTACTAATAAACATGTATTATTTTGTGATGAGGCAATAATGCTGCCTTGGTTAAAAACATTGAATTGTTGAGTTGAGGACCTTCGTTGTTCCTCATTTTCTCCTTCGGACTACAAAAATCCATCAGTCAATTATAACCGTGCATCTATAATTGCGGCTACAAAAGATAAACAAGTGGTAAAATCTCGAATGTTACAAAGTGCCCGCAAACACCCAGGGTCGCAGAAATATTAAATGTCTTAAAGGCAAAAGCCCATGCCAAGGACAGCAAAAGAACTGCTGTTGTTTAAAGAAACTGAATAATATTTATTGTATATTTGCACTAGTTTTGTAAAGGGGTGATATTAACATTCGAGAATCTAATCCATGCTTTGATTTACAAAGTGAGGCATGCCTACTAAAATTTTAGATGGCTAAGGAACCAGAATTTCGTTACTTTTCTCAAAACACGGAATAATGGGTCATTTCAGAAGCACCCATCTATGGCCAGTACGCTAACGAATTCAGTCTTCATCTCATTTGGCAAATGTGTCCCAGTTTTTACTCTACTAGTTCCAATGAGGTGGCTACCTTCCTTCTAAGTCCGAATGCGCCATAGGTATTAAAATGTAACTCAACCCCAAGTGATTGTTAATTGTATGGTTTTTAGCACTAACAATGTAGGCTTTTTAAGAAGCTCATCACATTAACAACTTTAATGTAATGGAATGAAAGTTTAATGCTGAAAAATGTCATAGTATTTCTGCTCTGCAGAAAGAGGTGTTCAAGATAATCCACCCACACAGATTCGGTATAGGGGTGATGGAGCGAACCAATCTGAACTCTGCAGACTGTCATTGGTGCGCATCCTACATTGATCCAAAGTTACTCTCCCATTGGTTGTGGAGGGCACGTGTGGAGCCGTCCCACTTAAGCACGTTCAAGTAACGCGCGAGACGCGCCTATTAGACATACGGACACACACGCGCGCACGTGCGCATCCATCAACTGGCCAATAGACTTTTCAAGGAGGTCGTCATTCGTTGTCCTAAACGGCCATAAAAGTCATTGGTCACCAAGCGTAGCCCTCATTTTTGATTGATGGTCAATTTCGCTGCAACTTTGGAAGGACAAGGGTGAAATATACATACTAAACTGACAACGATAATAACATCAAAATAACGGACGTCCAATCTAGCGCTGCGCATGGACTCGGACAGTAGTGACCTCAACCGCCATAGTACCAGTGCATCAACCCTTTTTTCATTTCCTCTGCAGCCTACTGTTCACAAAGGACTCCCTCTCAACCCCTCTATCCACGCACATCAGCAGCAACATCAACATTTAAACAATTTACAAGAAATGCTTGAGACATCCACAGCGTTGGACCACTCTCATCACATCCAATTTGATAGTCGAACCTCAATGTATTATCCTGTACAATCTTCTTCGGCATACGAAGAGGGGTCTCCAGAGAGCATTCGGAAGACCTCACCGGTAAATTTTCTTCGTCATTTTCCACCATCCAAGCGATTAATTGACCTTGAAACCGGAGCTCTGCATGCTATCGATGCTACAAGCGGTTTTGACAGCGTCAAGGGCGAGTACTACAGTAATGCAGAGGAATATGATCTAACTTCCAGGACACAATTTCTACGGAATCCATCTTCAGATTATTACTCAATGGAGACAGCATTCTCAGTATCTTCATCTCATCCACCTCAAATGACCACCATGACGTTCTCAAAGGAGGATGAGCCACAGGGTGAACTTTCAGGAGATAGTGGCAGAGGTTATAACTACACCACACCCCATCCCAACGCCCAATTGGGACAGCCGCAGCCAATGGTACCCCAAATGCGCCCTGAAGCTGGATACACTCATTTGGAAGAAAGCTTCGGGAAAGTGCCCCCTCTACCGCATACGGCAATTTCATCTCAGCATCCGCCTTCAACCACGCCTACCACAAATAATGTGAATGGCAATGGTAGTAAAACCGTAGTGACCAGACTTCAGGGTAGCAACGCTGGAACGGCAGCGGTAATCTACCCGTGGATGAAGCGAGTGCACTCCAAAGGTGCGTCCTTTTAATAAACTCATTGATGCTTTACTCAATTTAAAAGGGGAATTGCTTAAGCGCATGCCGTAATCTATTCCATTAAATTATAAAAGGTTGCTGGCATTAACAGAGGAAAAAGCAGTTTTCTCTTATTCGAAATATCATCCGTGTCCTCACATATCCAGTAGCCTCCAGCTTCCATAGTTCGCACATAACCTCAGATGACATTTAAATCAACTTTTTAAGGGGAGCAGTGAGCTGCAGACATTACTCGAAAATACATAGTCCCTGTGAATTTTAATGTCACACCATGCCAAGCCAATTCGCATTACTTTCTGCTTAAATCCTCTCAAGTGTTGCGTCAAGAATCAGATGCATGCAAACGAAATTGCACAAATACCTCAGGTATTCTTTTTCAGTAGCTGACTTATTCTTGTCAAAAGCGGAAAACGACGAACATCTTCTTCCCTTCGGTGCACTCTTTTATTCTGGAAAGTAAATCAACTGATTGCAGCGTTTTGGTTGTTAGATTTTACTTCATTTATGCGAACGTTCTCCTGAGCTTGCTAACATAGACGTGTTAGCTTTGAACAAACGCTTGCTTTCATAGCACTTTTTTACTAGTAAAGCGAGTCTCAGCTCTTATCGGATCGATAACAGTGTTAAATAGGTCCCTGATAAGGGATTACTTTACTTTTATCGTTTGATAAAAGGATTAGCGCATCATTGAGCGTACAAACTTCCTCGCAGTACTGAGGTACTTCTCCCTTTTCGCTTTCTCGACAAATTTGCAGTTTATTTAGGCTCTTCACTTCTCACCATATACACGTGTTTTACTTGAACTTCTTTAACAATAAGCATCGCCATTTTGCCGTACATCCTCCTTGGTTTATTGAACTGTAGGAACTAAACCAAAAATTTTCTACATTATTTAAATATTTTTGAACGAATTTACAGAACTTAAACCATTTTTATTATTTGGTAGTCAATTTCTCCCCACAAGCTTGTTTTAATCAACTTTTAGGCCAGGAGTGTTTCGTTTGAATGCTTGAAAACAGTCTACATACGGGCTTTCCTTCTCTTTTCTTTTTTCACTTTCTGTATCATCCTATCAGCATTTAGTGCGGAGATAACAAGAGTGCCCGATCGTTTATATGGATATCAACTAATTGCTTGCCTCCTATGAAGGCCTCAAATACCATATGTCTACCTGCTTGTTGTTAAGCTGATTGTGTCTTCCCAATTTGACAATGTAGGCACTCTTTTTGAAAATAATACCATCATTGACGCTTAATTGCAAGGGTTTTGAAAACAATGAATAGCTTGAACAATAAGAATCAGCATTTAATGTAAGCTATCTCCGTTTCAAGTAATCTTAACAGACTTTTACTGTACTGGATTTTTAGCACTTTTCTTCATCTTTTTGTTCATTTCACCCTGTCAACTTAGCGCTACGAACAGTTAAATGCCAAAAGTCCCTTAACAGGAAGTCGACACAGGAATTTAAAAAATGGCTGCCCGATGTGACGCATTTGGGATCCGCAGAGCCACCATGTTTTTCTCGTTCATTTGGAATAAATATCAAACTCAGTGTGATCTCCAACCTTAAGCTCGGAAGGCTGGGCTGGCAGGAGACCTCAACAGCATTCCCATTAGTCTCCCAGCTTTAAAGAGAATTCTTTTTCTACAGTCACGATATGGCTTACCAAATAACTTGACACCTGTGACTGTAAGGGTTGGTACGGACAAATGAATTAAGCAGATGCAACCATTTGAGGAATATCGGAGTCAAGTGATGTGATTTCGACACCTAACTAAGAGGCTAGTGCACACAAAGCAATCAACGTCATTTAAGCATTGCCGATGTGAATTTTGTCAGGAAGCACTACCTTTTCTTTGCTAAAACTCAATAAGTAAATCCTTAATAGCAGACCATTGATAAATCAAGGACGATTGCCAGCAAATCGGTTTGTGATGATAATCAAAGTATATCGCAATAAAAATAGGGGGTTGAGAAAAAAGATGTCGTTTGCTGAGTTTGAGTGTGGAAATAAAATTATGCTGCAAATAATGGACGATACGCAACACCAACGCAGACCATTTTCGCTACGTTGAGAGTTATGCCTTTGAAAAGGAGCTCAGAGTTCAGTTGGCAGAGTGTTCAGAAAGCAGGGGAAGCATAAAGAACAGAAATTGTTCTTTCACATTGTGTTGTTCACGTGTGCAGATGCCAGTTCTCATATCCGGTGTTGTTCAGTGAGAATGAAACTTAAACAATACACATACCTCAACACACGCATGCGTAGTTATGGAAGCGTTGTAGGCTCTAGACGTTTTAGCAGTGTATAACTCCCTCACTTTTTGCATTACGACCTATTCCTTTGAAATTGCCAGTTTTAGATATGATAATTCGTCCAACCCATTGTGGCCAAGATGGCTTAGTAAGTGGAACAAATGAACAGTTGTGTTTCCCAAAACTTCAATGGAATTAACAAATCTGAAGTAAATTATAAATTTAAAGTTAAAATAACTTAATAGGGAGGGATGACTTCCTTTTTATGAATGTAAAATAGGTATTAACAAATCCAACCATTTTGCAAGCAAAACAAGCTTAGTGAGATGATTTCACTTATAACGGGAAAGTTTTTTAATATTAAGGATAACTATTTTCTGGCTATAGATGTTAACTTTGTGTTGCGGTATCCCTAACACATTTTGGTCATTGCGTAGCTGTGCAATTTGCTGGCTCACAATTCCTTTATCCATGTTTGACAAACTTTAGCTATCCAACATATGCAATCGGGCAAGTATGTTAAGGAGCTTTCATTTTACATGGGTTCCAGTGAAGCACTATTTGTCCATACCAATGAAACCATATACTGACTCGATAAATGCTTGACCCAGACGACGAGCTGGTCAGTAATACAGCACAGTGCGAACAATTCTGATGTGAGGATTGCCATCTGCTACTCGCAGCTGCGGTATTGGAACACAGGTGCTAATAAGTGATTCACCAAATACTTTTTCAAACTTATAAATTGCTTCGCCAGTCTTATTGTGAGCATAGCCTTGTAGCAGTTTCTATGTCCCTCACATTATTTGGTAAACCGATTCTCCTTTGTGCTACCAGAGCGTTGGCTGATGGCTGTGGTCTTTTTTTGAGTTCAGTACAAAGTTGCTGTCTGTCTACAGAATTTTAATCCCAGCTTGGTTTCTAGTAAACTGCCGGTGTCCCAAAGTGCTAACTGACCAAGGGTGGCAGCAGATGTGTGAATGCTTTTTACTTATGTGTAAGGTTGAATACATCCGCTTATCTCAAACTTAACTACGCATATGTGTTTACATTGCACAATTTCAATGGACACCACCTCTCCTCTCAACATAAGAATGCCAAAGCATATCTTTTTTCCAACCTACTTTTCTTGAAAGTTGCTTGCCTGGTAGCCGTGACTTCAATTTGTCCTACCCGTAGACGCTTTTATTCAAATTAGGTAATGACTATGGGTATTCCAAATTTCTCAGAAGTAAGTTGGATAAGTCCAGACATATAGCAAGAGAAATTAATGGGTTTGAGATTTTCAGTGCTCACAAATATTTGGCGTAGCATTAATAATCGAACGTGTGCCATCTACTTTGGTTTTACCTCAACTTACTATACTGCACCGTATGAGTCAGCATATTAAGGGGTCATCAGTCCCGTTAAAAGTGCCTTCACTACTTTACAACATCAAATGAGACCAAAGGCTGGTTGGCGAACTTGCTTAGTTTATCGTTTTATACCTTCCAAACATACTGGACATGAATTAATGCTGGAAGTACTAAGTCCAGAACTAAGTGATTAGCCATTCCTGCTACCCAAAGCTTAAGATAACTTGAACAGTGCGGACACGACCATCTCTTCAAATGGAAAACTGATTATGCCATTTACTAAGTCAAAACTTTGTAATGAAAACGATGGCACTTCATTTAATGATTTAACAGCAACTTTTTTTGGAAGATATGTACAGAAGTACCATAAATGAATCATTTAGCAGCCTTGAAGTAGAGCACTTATTGGGAATCAGGGAATGAAATACAGGAATATTTGTATGCTTTTATAAGTATAGAGGTGTTGACTTCATTGAGTGCACAGCCAAACCTTAAATGTGTTTGTCGACCTCACTATCTTATGGTAAATGTTCCAAGATTTAACGAACAAATAACTACAATGTTATGGGGAAGCCTTCCGTTCGATTAACCAATGTCAGCGTTATCGTTAGCAATTACGTGATGGACATTGGAAATAACATTTATGGGATGTTTTAGTCGGTGTTTGATCTGATGTGTAGATTTTTCGCCCTTCTATGAAACGTGCTAGAATGGGTATCTTTTTGCTTTTTTAAAATCACCAACCAGATTATTTTTGTCCTTAAGAGATAAGACAATGCATAAAGACCTAGGAAAATATAACATTTCTATCCTGCAAGTGCATATTAAAACTCTTCTTCCCTTAAAATAGAGTGTACAACATAGTTAGTGAACTATTTTCGTTCCTTACTGATGCAAAATAGCGCATCTGGAGTTGAATCTTTAAATGTCAGAAGATGATACTGGAAAGACAGTCACCGTCACAGATGCTAGGAAAAGGGATCGACACCCAGGGAGGGGTACTAAAAAGCGGTTGGCAGGGGAGTGACGAGCACATCTTACCCTATCAAGACTTATTTCAAGTGGCTTATTACTTTGGCACTGCCTGCGAGTGGAACTTGCTTTTTTATCATACTTATGCACAAACTGATCCATTTTACAAAACGGGATTATGCAGTAAGTTAAAGAAACCTTGTTGACCTTATTTGGCAGCATAACTTTTAATTTGTGCTTGTAGACTCTATTATCTTAATAATTCATCCTTCGAAAGTATGTGACTTAGCGTTTATGTTGTTTACAAATTCACTTTAAAGTGACCCAAACGATTTACTGGCAGAATAAGTGTTTCTGGAATGGAGGGGCATGATGACTCACAGTGACGCAGTTGATGATTAATAGCTGGACATGGCTTTCTTAAGCAGGACAATCTTCAAAGCAGGTACCACTGCTAAAGGGTCTCAAGACTCTCGTTGCACCAAGCAATTAACGATGATCGAATGCTAGTAATGTTAGTGAAGCATGACTACAGATGTTAGCGACACCACTGCTTCGAAGTTGTAAAGCATGGTATTTGTACGCGTTGTTCGATACAATTTCTAGTCAAAATGGCCCCTTTTCGCATGACCGCGTGTCAAGATGCACACAGAATGAGGAAATCTCCTAAATCTCATTGTTATTGGTGCTTTCATGACATTTTCCACATTGATGTCAATCCCGGTTGCACGATACACATGTGCCTTGCACCACTTTTCAGATTGTGTGAAAAACCTGATTGTACATCGTTTTCGCCCAACCGCATACTGTTTATAAGTAAGAGAAACAGTGGAATGCAATCCATCGCTAGCCAATCAGCAACTTCTTTCTCCATTTCCTGATTTTGTCCGATATTAAAATCGCGACATATACTTCATTCGTTCAACGAGCAGTCTGACCAATCACATCATTATTGCATCAAAATGTTTTTCAAAATTCACATTATCTTACGTAGAGCTTTGGAGCTCGGAGCAATGAAACAGTGCCCCTCCGTGTATGCGTTAACGAATTGTTGTAAAGCTGGCTACCTCATAACTTTATGTGTAAATAGTTAAATGAACGAAATGCGATGCGTGGCCTGTACTGGGAGGTGGCTTACAAAAATCTGATGGTGGACCTACCCCATCTCCAGCATTGATTGATTCATGGCGCGGATTTATTCAAATCTTTTTACAATAAGTGCATGCTTCAAAATTATAAGTACTTATTGTTGCCTCGACGTCATTTCTCCCACGCATCCTTTTTGGTAGCAATATGAGGACGATATTTACTACATCAGTCAATCCACTCACCTTTTTGCATGGAGATACTTAAAATGAAAGGGAAACTTTAATGTGAATAGTGGACAGAGGAGCGAAGACGTTTTGACGCGTGCGCCTCGAGACGCGCAAACGCTTGCAAGCAAATAAGTGGAATGCGCATGAGTGTGTGTGAAGGCGAAAACGTGTTTGTGCTTGTGCGTGTCGGAAACTTTGATTATCGGACGGGGGAAAGTGGCATGCGCGTCTGTGTCTGAGTGCCCGTTCTCCTACGCAGAGACAAACACACCATCGGACCTGACGTTTACCTTTTGCTAACATCGGAAGTTTCCAATTCTATTCCCTATTCATCCTATACTGAACTGGTTCCAGCGGCTTCCCTCGAAAACCCAGTATGCCACAGTTTTGGCAGCACTACATAACGAAACGAGGAGTGACTTGGAGTCTTCCCTCTTCCTAGAATTGTTATAATAGATCGTTAAGGAATGGAGTTGAGTCATAAATTACTACATCGCAGGGTGTCAATGATGCAAGTATTGCGTATAAAATCCGCTTACGCCAATTAATACAGTTTTGTTCAACCATTGGCCACCTTTTATCCAACCTACATCTGCTTCAAATCTTATTTTCTTCTTCCGTTGTTGGAACTAACCTACTCTTTAATAATCTATGAACATTCACATGCATTTAAAACATTACTCATTATAATGCACGGAAATATTCGCCATATCGAAGTGTTGCATCGTCGTAACTCATAGCACACCCTCGACCTGTAAGGATTAATGATCTCTCATCCCCTTTTTGCACCAGATTTTAAGAGCAACAGAACTTTTTAATACTAAATCTGCCTAAGGAGAGATTGTTTTGCAATGTAATGGATTCAAAAGGCAATTGAATTGAAAGCGAGGGCAGGCACTGGGAGGACCGAAACCGAATACTTAACAAAATTGCATTACCATTTGCTTGCCAACTCATAGAAAAGTGACGTTTCATTGGCGAAAGGTTTAAACAGCGCAAAGCACTTTTATTCTTTAGTCAACTCTCCATAAGGACCAATAGTATGCATAGGAGTCTTCGGGTTAATAATTGTTTTGTCTTGAAAATCTAATCAACAAACGTTGCCGCTCACAAAAAATATTTATTCGCATGAATAAGATTATGACTCGTTTAATCTTAACCATAAATCATCTGACAACCAGGCATGGCACGTGCACAAAGTTTTGTTATGGCTTGACGTTCAAGAGGTGATAAGCCTTTTCAAATTTGTACGATCATACGGCTGACAGATTTTTATTATCGCCGTAAAATGTGAAAAATACAGCTTTCAATACTTCCCAGGCAAAACCCTATTAGGCAAAATTTTCTCTCATTTTCATTTCTACTTATGAATAGCATGGACTACCGCCTCTGGCTTTCCAACGAACTCTTACTTTTGTAAATGAGCCTACACCATGTGCATGCCAAAGTTGTCGAACTAGTCAGCCGACTGTGGCATTTAGCATCGACCCGAGAAGCACCCTATATACTAACTTCTGCGGGGAGTGAAAAAATGACCACTGGTCGTACCGAAGCAGCATCACCGGTAGCTGTAGGCAAAGTCTATTAGTTTGTATTTTTATGTCAATATTGATGAAGGCTTTTTAAGCCACTCTTGCTCGTGCACTCCCTCATCCTTGCACCAGCCTACCTCCTTTCCATTGCGCTGGTCGGTCAGTCATCACTATAGAAGCGTCAAAAACATCACTATTGGTCCTACTTTTGGCCGTCCCTTAATGTTGGTAGTCCATTCGTAGGGTGCCCCAGCTGTTAAAATGCCTGTATCATTTTATGATTTTCTTGACAATCTATTACTTACCACCTTGAAATAATTTACTGCCATTTTTTATCCAATAGTCGTCATTGCACTAATTTTCAAATGTCTAAAGCAAACCGACTGAAGGCTTTCTGCATAAAGTCCAAGTTAACATGAAAATACGTTAATAATCTTAAGGTGATTTTCTTCAAACTGAAACAACAATTGGGATATATTGCTTACTAGTACCGCAGGCCATACGTTTTATGACTTGGAAAGATATCACTTTTAGTAAGTCCCTTGATTAACCTGTGGTGATTGTTTTCGATATAGTTTATTTGTTTGGCGCAAAAAGCCAAGATTAGGTGCATTTTCAAAAGTCTCTAAGCAGTTCCTTGTATTGAAATGCTGCTTCGCTGGATTGCCATAGAGTGCAACAACATTCTGGTGGTTCATTGACTTTAAACTTGAAAAGAGAAACCTAAATAATCACATACTGCTAACGTTGCACTGCCATCAATATGCACCAAATTCTATCAGAGCTGATTACACTCTTGCTTCGCTGATATTTTCCCAACCATGCAACAGCCGTTACCAAAGTGTCGAGAGGAATTGAAAGACCCTTCAAGTAACAGAACTCGGTCAATGTCAGGATAAAGACAGGTTTCACTAATTTCGATGATAAAAATAGCCGCCAAAACCTTATTTACACACACATACAAGCATATGAATGCTTACGAATGAGGTTCTACCAGACGATTCCGTGGTGGGGAAGGAGACAGCGACGGAAGAGTGGTAAAGGTGAACAAAAGAGACCGCGTAAAAGCAGCTGGTAGTCCGCAAGATTTGACGTTCGTATGCACCTACATATAACGCGCGTGCTAGCAGCCACAAGCACGTGCGTGCGCGGTATTCTGCTTTTTGTTTCTGCAACCAACCCAACTAGCTGCCCATCGTTTCGTGGTCCGTCACCACCAACGCCCCCTCCCTCCTTCACTACTTTGAAGCTTCCGCCGATTGTCAGCCGTATACATACAACGGCGGGATCGACCACTTAGGTGGTTGCTTTTAGGCTGATAAAACAACTAAAAACGCTACTTTAGAAACATTAGCTCCAACTCTTCCAAGTCTTGCCCTAATTACCTCATTTGTGGTCGAACATTTTACTTGATTTGAGATCATGTAAACGATGCCGCAATTTCTACTAATCGGCGAATTAAAGTGGTTACACAAAAACGCTAAAAATTGCTGTCAATGTTAATCTAAAGATTTGACTTATATCACTTCTGTTTAGCTTAGGTTCATAATGACCATATACAATAATAAGGGATTATGGCAGATGTAAAAGTTCATACACAGAAAATGTGTCAATTATCGTGAGCACGAAAACAGCACTGCCTTACCACGAACAAGAGCGGATAAAAAATTGTCAAATGTTTAGACTGCGTCTCATCCTGCCTTTACGGTCTCTCTTTGTGCGCATAGACAAACACACACTGCTACGCCAGGTTCCGACGTCAACGAGCAGACGGATAGACATGCATGCGCGCTATGACTAGACGGTGTTTGAATATAGCGAACTCGAGAAAAAGGCCTGTCCGGTAGGGCTGACTAATTCGTCGGCACAAATGAAGGCATAATCTCATTATGGTAAATACGTTGGTTTTGCCTTTTAGGACTTGTAGCACAGGGTCCCATTAAAACGAGCAAACAAGTGAATTTCAACACCCAAAAATCCAATGATGGCGTGAAAAATCGAAAACGATTACTGGAAGACGAGCCATTGTCTTCAAAGAAAACATTTTCAGATTCCGATAAGCTTGAAAATACTTCAGAGTCGGTGGATTCACTGAATCAAGGTAGTGAAGACAGTGATGCCGCAAGTGGTACAGGTGGAGATGACTTGAGTTTAGACATGGTAGGTTCTTCCTGTGATCCAAAACGAACTCGTACTGCTTACACCAGACAGCAAATACTAGAACTTGAAAAGGAATTTCATTATAACAAATACCTAACAAGGAAACGGCGCCTTGAAATCGCGCACACACTTAACCTTTCTGAAAGACAGATAAAGATATGGTTTCAGAATCGCAGAATGAAATGGAAGAAGGAACATTGTCTGCCTGGAAACAAACAGCGACTCTCAGAGCCACCGATTCTCACTATTCCGAGTCAAACCTTTCCTATGCGCAACCAGGAGTCTATGCAATTTTGCTCAAATCGTCATGGTTTTGATGTGAGTGCAGTCAATGGGGATCCGATGATGACAACCCGATTCTTACCCTTTTTTCCAAAGTATCTCTCTCCAACTCCTAGTGCAGTCAAGACCACGGGAATGACGCCACTTTCAGCCCCACCGAAAAGGTTTTACGACGAGGAAGGTGGATTTGATACAGTATGGTTCAATGATAGATGTTATCAGCAGTCCTCACCTCAACCCGGTTTTAATTATCCAACAACTTCTACGCAATCAACTCCTCCTCCACCTCCGCCACCATCTTCCAATAACCCATTTTCTAACACTCTTGCTGTGGCCCCAACAGATTTCTACTCGGGCCTCCTGACAAGCACTTGGACGTCTAAAGCTCCTTCGCAACAGCAACAACAAATCCGGCACACTGTCAACCCATCTTACGACGGGGAGTATGTAAACAGCAGTAATAACAACAGCAGCTCACCCTTTTGCATTGCAGCTCACAAACCTTCCAACTTTCCCTCGGATGATGAACTAGCAATATCAGGCAGGAATGCAGGAAGTGAGATCGAAATTCCGAACATGGCGTCAGCAGGAAGGATAGAAAAGGAATGTCGAATCGAGAAATAGTGGAGCACCCCTACATATTTGTCAAAACCAATGTGCCGAATCTTGTCCTTTTGCCAATATCTCCCTCCTTTTCAACCCAACGTAAACGAACTTCTCCATATTCACACGTTCGCTCATGACTGTCATGACAAGTAGGTCATGCCGATGTAATGCAGAGAAATAATGCGCCTTTACTACCTCAAAATTAATGCGTGTATATTTTAATGGTTTGTTCAAGTACATGCCTATTGTATTGAAATAAACTGCATCTGTTTTAAGCAAGTTTTATCCAGACGTACTGCGGCAGATTGTGACATCCTCTAACAGGCTTGTAAGCGCGATCGTATTCACTGAGACATAAAATTTGCGTACGATATTGAGACAAGTAAAGGTTGTGTAAGGTGCAAAATCTAGCCTAGAAGAACTGGCTATTAAATGAATATGCTGATTTGGTAGCCATCTACTCCGGCATGTTTAGCCGATGGATGCATATAACATGCAGATTAAGCAAATGGTTATCTGAATTTCTTAGAATAACCACTTCGACTGATTCAGATTAAAGCATGAATGTGAATTTCAACTGGTTCCCTCTATGGCAGTCAATGTGGATGGGGTTATTTCGCCTAATCTAAGCTAATGATGACTTCTACTTCATTGGACTTAGGCGGGCATTGCTTCTCGAATTGACCTTGGAAACATCACGAACCCTTTTTAACAAGAGCAAAGCTTAAACTTCCTTAACTTAAACCTTAAACCATTAAAACTCTCAGTACAATTTTTACTACCTGAAACCACTTTCTTTCACTTGCAGATGATTGCTCTTTGTGGATCATTATTAGCCCCAAAATCCAGCTGACTGGTTTAATTTCGACAATTCTGCAACAGGTAACTTTGTCGGCATTAATATTGACCGTCTGATGACGAAAAGTTGTTCTTATAATAGGAAAAGTCACATTAAAAAGTGAAAGAGCCATGGCGCATTCTACTAAAATTCAACCAGTAGTGCACATTTATTCCAGCAACAACCCCCTGGGAATAATGCTAAAGTTGTGAACTTTTATTTTACTAAAGGTGACAAAGGCAAGTAAAGACTAATGATAGCCTTCCTCCTTTAACTACGCAATCGTAAAATGCAAACATTTCGACTGACGTCCGGTGTTCGACGACGCCTTGTTGTCGAACATACGCCAAGGACTACTGTAGGGCAGAAGTCACTTGAAGGTTTTCGATAGGTCCGGAAGACCAGATGTCCTTTTGGAATGGCGGTAGCAAAGCCTGTTACTTGGTCCACCATCTAGTGAGGATTGAAAGGCCAACTACGTAGTTCAAAACAATTCAAATTTTGACGACTATGAGTAGTTTTACTGAGGTATAAAGGGGACTTTACTTTATGCTTGCACTAGGGAGAAATCTCAGTGTTTAGTAACTGTCGGATATCCAACCAATAGTAACTATAGGAGATGACACGAAAATTGTAATTGCTAGTAAACTAGTGAACACTTTATTCGTTCATAACTCCCCATTATTATTATCATTAATAGGCCATTTGTGGCACTTCTAACATATGACAAGCGCAGTTGGATTGCAAAATTGAATGAAACGACTTCGGTTATGTAAAGTTAAGAAACTTGATGATGTGTCGAGAGTAAAGAGGTCGATTGAAGTAGCTACATACGCAATCGAACCATTTGGACTAGAGCGATGCGCTCTTGTTTATGCAAATGTGCCCGAATGCAAACCCAGTAGCGCAGCTACTGCAGTAGATTTCATCTGTCACGCCCTCGAGCCCACTTGATCAATAAGGACGAGAAGCACTTGTCTAGACTAGCTAAAGAAGAGGCCAGCGTTGGGCACCTGCCTATCATTTATGTGGACGTTTGGATGGCACGATTCTATTTGTACCCTTAACCATTGCCAATGACTGTTGGCTATGAGCACAAAATGAAATGGATTGTTTAAAATTTTGAACTCATTTGCTTAAGAATGAGACCTTTATGCAGATAACGAAGTCTGGTGAAGACTAGTCATTGCAAATGACGTCTAAGTACTTCCCTGCCAGATAAGTTGCAATGCAGCTAATTTATTTTCCACAGCAACGTCATCGATGAACCATTTGGTTATAATTGTTTGTTTCGTCGGCTTATTCGATACACTTTTAAAGAATTCGGTTTTGTATTGAAATGATATCCAAGCAACTGTCACAGACATAAATGCATGCTTTTGCAAAAGGAGCATAATGGGACTGGATTTGCTTTCACAGCTTAACCGAGTGTAGGCAATGGGACATTTGAGAGAATCTTCTTGCCAAAACATTATAAATACCTTCATTAGTGGCAGAAGTTATATCTCAATACACTGACTTGGGTGATGTGCTATGCAATATGGGCGGAATCCACTGAGGCGAGCGAGTGTTTAGGCCTTGCAAAGAAGTAAAATCCACAACGTTAAAGAGTTTAGATGCAACCAATATAACAGTGAGCATGAGATTGAAAGTGTGTTAAGATGGGTTCGTCATTGCAAGACACTTGATGATTGGACTACTTTTATCGTGTCAAAGGCAACTAGACGTGATACGGGTTTAGTACCTTGAGCAAGTATTGTACATTGATTGTCTTTCACCACTTTTAGTGATAATTGTTTTGTCATAAAGTAGTTCGCACTTTGCAAGTCCGTTTACAGTTGAAGCTAACTTGGCCTGGGGAAACCGAGTTGTTTTTCCCTTCTCTAGTTGCCAAAATGTCACATATTTTTAGAGTCAGGAGCAATACCTATTTTCTGAACGAATTACTGTGCTGCTGGTCCATTGAACAGTTTGATTCATCGTCCATGATATCGTGTGTTGCAACTTCCAATGATTTATCCAGACTGTAGACAAATTTTAAGGAAGTGAAAGAAGAGGAGTCTTATAGTTGTAAGCATTAAGGTAGGACAATTGTTTCTGATGCCCTAATTCCAGTAGCGTTAACCAGGGTTTCTAATTTATAAATGCATTCTGTAAAGTGTCCCAATGCAACTCCAAATCTGTTCACAAAAATATTTTACACAACAGTACACATTCTGCATTTGAATTGGTAAAAATAGGTTTGATAAAACAGTAGTGCTTATAAAAATTGGGATTTTAGGAAGCAATATATAGTTGTGTCTCTAACAGTTTGCTCTTGAGGAAAAACACGTAAAGTTGACCCAAGAGGCACACTGGAATGCTGCTTTAGTCTAAGCAAATCCTTTGTTGCTAGTTAGGTAAAACTTTCATAGAGTATCATGGCATAGCTCACGAAATTTCTGTAGTCGCACTGTTTGCGTTAAGTTTGGAACGTCCACCGATATTGATGTTAGACAGTGTTTGGGAAATGAGGTTCGAAATGACACTGACCTTAAAGTTAACTTGTACGTGGAACTGGAGATCTCTATTTGCAAGTCTTGATTTGTAGCAATCAAAGTTAGACTTTATAACTTCCTCCTTCCTGCAGTGTTAGCGCACTATGCGTATTAATGATTGGCATATTTCACTTGTCAAATTTGTGTAATTCCATCTCAAGCTAAAGAAACAGCTCCAGCATGCAAATAAAGAAAGAAAGAGTAAATGATCAAAAAAGTTTATGCATGATGAGACTCATACTTCCTACACAAAATCAAAATAATGAATAGATTTAAAATTAAAACGATAAGCTAATCGAATGTGACTCGTATTTTGCACATTAAGCTTAAACATACTTGGCTATTTACTCCTTGAAAATAAAGAGACAATTGTAACTCCTCTCTTTCGAGACCACTGCCTGAAAGAAGAAGTCAAACACGACAGCAAGGAATTTTAATTGGTCAATAACAAACGCATGCAATTTGGTATTGTTCAAAAGATCTCAAATTAAAATTAATAGATGTGGGAAACCGAACTACTTCAACCTTCAATGACTTATTATTGAGGGATTAGCCAATAATGAGTGTTGAATTTCCTGGAAACTGGTACGCGTAGCATTGTAATTTATCACGTTATGCAAATGAGCACCTCTGAGTGAATGAAAAAGTAGACGGAGACTCCGTATCTTACACATCGCATACGCGAGTTTAATGCTCGATAATTCTCTTTTAAATATCGTCCCATTAGAGCAACAAGTAGGACGTTGATAGCAAGTGGAACATTAATGTAGGAAGGAAAGGAAGAGTAAAACATAAAGTTTATGGAAGGGCCACCTCTGGCCTCGCTTTGGAGGTAAGTGCGCTCGCAACTGTTGAAAATATCAAAGAGGACAGCCGCGCGTCTCTTGGAATGTGCGCAGTAACATGACTGAAAGAGAGGAGGTAAAAAGCAAGCGGCGAACGATGGGGTGGAGATGAGACGAGGCGAGACGGGAAGGCAAAGGAAGGGGAGGAGGGGTGAAGGAGGACTGGAAGAAGTAGAAGGAGAAGAGCCAGTTTATGCACCTCTTTACTCGCTTTCTCCATTCTCTCTTTTGCCCCCACTTCCACCTACACCACCCCCTCACTTTTTCAGCATTACATTTTCCGCCTTTTCTATGGGTGATGGGGAAAGCAGAGCAACGCAAGTGCGCACAGTGCCCACGTGCGCATTCAGTCCTTTAAACATAGTCTTTTCATCTTTCTACACGGTGTACACGCGCAAATCGAATCAATTTGGACCAATGCACCAACTACGTGTGTTTAAAGGGCGCGCTATTAACGTGCGCACACGTGTATCCCCATGTGTAAACGTCTTTTCGCGGACCAACTTTTTACATCCGCATTCTACTGCTGTCTGGTGTTTTTCTACTCTCCTAGGTCCAAAGCAAAGGGAAATGGAAACGACATACGCTGCTTGATGCTCCTTCTTCCAGTGCTACTTCGACTGCAACTGCTGACACCGTTTGTCTTTTTGAGCCCCAATGAAGGTGCGATAGAACTATTTGGCTTTTTTGAGCCTTCGCAAAAGAGCACTACTTAAACCAATGCTAAAATGAAATTCGTATTCATTCCCGCTTTATTACTGCAGTTTTTAAATGTAAATTCTATTCAACAACATTTCC